AGAGGATACAACTATGATACACTCCCTTTTTGATTTTAAACCATGAAGAGTCCCCTTCTTCATGGATGACAGCCTTCTGGTCTATGTACAAGTTCCTCATGAGCACAATTAAGTGTTCTGGAATTCAAATTTTTCTCAATGTTATTCATAATTTCTTATGATCCACACAATCAAATGTTTTTGAATAGTCAATATACCACAAGTGAACATCTTTCTGAGATTCTTTGCTTTGAACCAAGATCTATCTGACATCAGAAATGACATCTCTCCTTCCACATTATCTTCTTAATCCATCTTGCATTTCTGGAAATTCTCTCTCAATATAAAGCTGCAACCATTTTTTAATTATCTTCTGCAGAATTTTGCTTGCATTTTATATTAATGATATTGTTTGATAATTTCCACATTCTTTGGGATCAGCTTTCTTCTGAATGGGTACAAATATGGATGTCTTCCAGTCAGTTGGCCAGGTAATTGTCTTCTGAATCTTTTGGCATAACCAAGTGAGTGCCTCCAGTGTGGCATCTGTTTGTTGAAACATCTCCATGAATATCCCGTCAATTCCTTGAGTCTTGTTTTTTGCCACTTCCTTCAAAGCGGCTTCAATTTCTTCCTTCAGTACCATCGGTTCTTGATCATATGCCCCCTCCTGAAATGTATGAACATCAACCAAATATTTCTGGTAGAGTGACTCTGTGTATTCTTTCCATCTTCTTTTGATGTTTCCTACATCATTCAATATATTGCCCATAGACTCTTTCAATATTGCAACTTGAAGATTATTTTTTTTTTTTCTTCAGTTCTTTCAGCATAATAAATGCCAAGCATGTTCTTCCATTTTGGCTTTCCAAATCCATGTCTTTGCACTTTTCATTATAATAATTGACTTTGTCTTCTCGATCTGCTGTTTGAAGCTTTTTGTTTAGCTCTTTTATCTTGTCATTTCTTCTATTTACTCATTATATTGTACATAGGGTTATTATGATTCAGAATCAACTACTGCTGAATTTGGAAAATTGGAAAATTTGGAAATTGGAAATTTTAATTAATCTAAAACATGTCATTTCAGTGTACTCAGAGAACCTAACCTGTGAGACAAAGATGCAACTATTATTATAATAACCCATAACATAACCCCATTCTGTTGTACATAGGGTTATTAGGAGTCAGAACAACTGGACTACACCTAATAACAATAACATCTACTCAAAGTATGGGAAAATATGTCATAAACCAATGTCAGATATCTTTAATATTTAATATTTTTAAGATTTCAAGTTCTGAACAGTTATCTCCAAACAACTGTGAATGGAAGTGGAGATAAATTATTTTACTTATACATCAAGTATGTTTTTTCCTTTACTAAATAAGAAAAGCTCCAAATAACATGTCAACTTTATTGTTCTACAATACAATTAATAAAACATTTAGGTTAAAAACATGGCAGACTCTGGAACTTATTTTTCTTTATAATTTTCCACCAACCTTCTCCAATACTTCCCAAGGCCTGAATTGTGGGAGACTTGGTGAGAAGAGACACCCTATTTATGACAGGAGAGACTTTAGATGAAATAGTGGTTTATGTAACACAGATATAAGATGAAACTTCACAGTTTGGTGAAGCAAAATCATTCAAATAAGTGATGAAATATTAAATAAATATTTAAATATCAGATACCTAAAATGAAGACACAGATGAGATTTTAAGATTTCATTCAATTTTACGTAAAAAAATTTAACAAAATCCATGAAATAGTTTTCATACAATGAGATCATTGCTTGATTCTTTAATATCACATGCAAATTCTGCTATAGAGAATAAAATGAAATAAGACAAATAAAACAATTCTAAATGTGTACTATCATTATTTTATTTTATTTGTTAAGTCGGTATATACTTCTCACTGTATCTGAAATTAAATAAGTATTTGACCAAATACAACAATAGATAGCTTTGAAACATTCATATGATACAAATTGGGACTTTTCAGAATTTGGAAATTGTAATTAATCTAAAGCATGCCATCTCAAGGCACTCAAAGTCCCTAACCTGTGAGACAAAGATGCATAGAATAAGGCTGTGAATGGTAAAGTTTCTATTAAACTAAAAGATCAATGACAATCCAAAGAAGGAGACATAACAATGATTTGGGATGAGTTGAGAACATGTCAATAGAGATGTGGCCACTTCACTTAGTCATAAAAGAAGAGCAGAATGCTGCAAAGAATTCAGACATGATGTTGAATTCCAGAGAGTAAGAGGCAATCAGAAATGGAGAGAAAGGGAGATGTTGTCCATGATGACACAATACACCAAAATGTCATCACCAGACAGGAAACTCCCCCCGCACCACACACATGTAATTGGTGTGCATGATTTGAGGAAAAACATTGAGTAATTCATATATCAAAGCTGTCTTAATGTGGTATATAACATTATCAGTGGGCCAGAGAGAACATATTCCCATTCTTATGTGTTAAAGGAAGTGAGAATGGAGAGTAATCATGGTAAGAATCAATGGCTATCTGTTCCTACTGAATATAAGTCCTGAGTTCAAAGAAAAAGGAGAGTTTGATAGCTAGAAAGAACAACAGCCTCAAACTTAAAACAATCATGAAGATGACACAAGACCAAGCAATATTTTATTTAATTCTGTTATTCATGCAATTGAAATGAGTCAAGGCTGACTCCACAAAAACAAACAAAAAAATCTGAGTTGCTGGGAAAAAAATAATAGAAGCCACAAACATAAAAGGTAGCAAATGAGGAGACTGGTGTGTGAGTATGTGTGTTTGGGTGTGAATATAATACTTGCTATATTGCATATGTGGAGATTAAGATGACAGTAATATAGTTAACCAAATTAGATATGTATGGTTGGAGATGGAGAAAAGTAAATGCTCTACTTGGAGGTACAAGTGAAACTGAGAATGAATGCTCTCACAGTAAAGGAGAGAAGTATATAGTAAATTGAAATTAAAGTTAAAGAGAAAGAACAAAATGATTTAGCTAAGAGGCATATCAAGAAAAATGGTTAGGGAAAGAAGGTAAGTGAAGTAAAAAAAAACAAAACAAAACAAAACTCACTGCCATCGAGTCAATTTTGACTCATACCAACTCCTTCTTGGGTTTCTGAGGTGATATCTCTATGGAGGGAGCTCTGGTAGCATAGTGGCTAAGACACTTGCCTGCTAACCAGATGGCTGGCAGTTCAAACCCCCCAGCCACTCCTCAGAAGGAAGGTTGGGCAATCCTACTTCTGTAGTGATACTGCCTCGGAAACCCAAGGAGGGGTCCTTATGAGTCGGGGCTGACTCGAGGGCACATAACAACAACAACAACATCTCTATGGAAGTAGATTGCCCAGTCTTCTTTCCAAGGACAAGCCAGTGGGTTTGAACCACCAGCCTTCTGGTTAGCAGTCAAATGCCTCAGGCACTACACCATCAGAGTCCCCGGGCTTCTTATAGATAGATATAAACATATGTGTGTGTGTTAATTTCTTTGTTTATATAGATATATCCTCTATAGACAAATAGAAAATTATTATTCCTATAAATTCTTCCAAACCTTCCTGTGAAGTCACATTAAGGGGATTGCAAAATTAGTAATATCATCCTCTCTGTAAACATGTTTTAGGACATAAAACATTTCTCAGTGCTCCTTTTACCTCTGCGTTTCTCAAGCTGTAGATGATAGGGTTTAACATTGGGGTAATAACGCCATTCATCATTGAGATAAGCCTGTCTCTGGCTGGGGAGTTGTGACTGGAGGAGGGACGGACATAGTTTAATAACATTGTACCATAGAACAAAGAAACCACAAGGAGGTGAGAAGCACATGTAGAGAAGGCTTTGCGCTTTCCTTCAGCTGACTTGATCTTCAGAATGGTGGATATAATGTAGATATAAGAGATACCAGTGATCAGGAAAGTGCTGCTACCTGAGACACCTCCTATCACTAAGGAAAGTGTTTCTGCTACATATGTGGAAGAGCAGGAGAGAGCCACCACTGGAGGGATATCACAATAATATTGGTTGACCTTATTAGACTCACAGAAAGACAGGTGGAATGTAAATACCGTGTGCAGTAAAGAGTTCAGAAATCCTGCTGCCCAGGTCCCAGCTGTGAGCTTGGCACAGCGTCCCTTTGTCATGATGAGGGTGTAACGAAGGGGGAAACATATGGCTACGTATCTGTCATAAGCCATGACAGAAAGAAGAAAGACTTCAGTCCCTAACAGGGCTACAAGGAAAAATAGCTGAAAAGCACATCCGACAAAAGAAATGCTTTCCTTCTTGGTCAAGAGGTTCTCAAGCATTTTAGGAACAGTAGACGATGGACAGAAAATGTCTAAGATGGACAGATTTGCCAAAAAATAATACATGGGTGTCTGGAGCTTTTTTTCAGTCCCGATGGCAAGGAGAATGGCCCCGTTTCCCACCAAGGTGACCTGATAGATGGCAGCAAACACCACAAAGAGAGGATAGCGCACCTCTGGGAGGTCAGAGAACCCTATGAGGACAAACTCTGTGACGGTGGTTAGGTTGCTGGCATCCATCTCCTCTCTCCATAGGGCTCTTTCTGGAGGGGAAAAAAAAAAAAAGAACAGGACAGATACAAGTTAGGTTCAATCCTAACGATGAGAAACACTTAGGAAATAGTGGTGTTCGTTGGTGATAAATTATGCTAGTCTTATTTTACTTGGAGCGCTGGTGGCCGGTAATGGATAAAAAATTTGACTGCTACCCGGAAGATTTGTGGTTGAAACCTACCAACTGGATGGGGCAATCTAGTTCCATAAAGATCTACAGTATTGCAAACCTAATGGGGGTGGCTATGAGTCAGAATGAAATAGATGACAGTGAGTTTTTGTTTGTTTTTACTTGAGCTTTCAAATATTGCAATCACTGTATGCATGATAATTCTTAGACTATCCTCATATCCTTAACAATAGCCATCTAAAATTTCACCTCAATAAAGGCATTGTTGAACCATAAACAGTACAGATTTGACAATGTCGTGAAAGCTGAGAGTGAAGATCTCCCCCTTGCTTGTTGTTGTTGTTATGTGCCATCGAGTCGGACCCAACTCATAGAGACCCCTCCTTGGGTTGCTGAGGCAGTATTACTACGGAAGTAGATTGCCCAACCTTCCTTCTAAGGAGTGGCTGGTGGGTTTGAACCACCAGCCTTCTGGTTAGCAGTCAAGTGCCTGAGGCACTATGCTACCAGAGCTCCTTCTCCCTTCCTTAGACACTATATTTTTTCCCTTGTAACATCTCAATGTGTATCTTTATGCACTATCTCAATACTAAGTACCTTGAAGGTAGAAGTTGTGTTTTATTCCCTGCTATAGGTTAATACTTCAGCAAATAGTACACACAAGTTAAAAGGTAAATGTATAAAGTTGAGTGCAGAGATGGCTGAATGTTGTGTTATGTGCTTTGAAGACGTGTTTCTCTATAACTTCAAACTCATATTCATTTAAATATGAACATTATTTTGCTATTTCCTCAGAGTGAAAAGATTACTTTTTTCCTTTTTTACCATTTATCAAACAACATCTAAGGAAATATGGGATTTCATAAATTGTATGTGCTTGATAACATATAGCTCATATTTAATCTTTGTTAATTATCTACATTTGAATAGAACTTGATAGCTATCAATATGATTCAGATGATTCAGAAAATAATCTGAAGGTGTGCAAATCTGTATTTTTGGGTTTTTTTTTTTTTTATATCACATTACAAACTAATTTATTATTTTTTTTTTACATTTCACATGGATGAAAAAAATATAAGAGAATATATGGTTAGATATTAAAATGCATTCACATTCTAGGACCATTCCATTTGTTCTCCCTAAAGGAAATTTGTAATAATTTCTTGGCTCAGATAAAATTTGA